GGGTGGTTAGTGTCTTAGCTGGCAGTTTTGGTGCCGACAGACATTCCCACAGCCATTCCTGCCGAAGGCGGCGTCGGGTCCTGACTGGACAGAGCTCACGGGCCCTTTCCCAGGCGGGAGAGTCTCCAGGTCGCGCCCCTGCCCGGCTGCGGTGCGGTGAAGGCGCGGGCTCAGGACAAAGTGGCCATCCGTGCCTAGAACGAGCGGGCGCCGCAGAAGTTGCAGGGTGAAGCACTCCGAAGGAAAAATGAGACCAGGAAGAGGGGTGGGAGCGTGGAGGAGTGGGGACGGTGGGAGCCGGTGCTTCTGGCCTTTGCACTCGCTCACTGACAAGACGCCTGGCACAAAGCTGATGGACCAGTGGATGGACTGTATAAGTTACCCACCCACCGTAATAGAGCATTTGCTGTCTGTCATTTAGTCCTACTGGCAAACAACTTAAATGGAAACTTTTATCATCTGTGCTTTTCAAAAGAGGAAACTGAGTCCAGGCCAGATCGTGTGTCTGCTTACACAGCGAGGAAGTCGCCGCACATGATCAGGGTCTGTTTCTCCCACCACAGCCATTCCCACCTCTGCACTAGCTGCTCCTTCTGCCTTGAATGACTTTCTCCCAGATCCTTTCCTGGCTCGCTTCTTATTGTCCGGTCTCAGCAAAAATGGCACTTCCCCAGACCCCTCTGAAGCCCATCAGGCCCCTTTTCTTCTTCAATCACAGCACTATGACTGCCTAAAGTCGTCTCATTCGCCTGTTTTTCTTTGTCTTCACCTCTGGAACATAAGCTTCACGAAGGCAGGGGCCTGTGGGTCCTGTTCACCCACATCCTGGCTCCTCGCATGCAGTAGGCACTCAAATGCCTGTTTAACAAATCAAGTGGTCCCGGGGCTGCTAAGTCCTTTCCACCCTGGCTTTCCCCGGGACATTTCATTCACTCTGTGCATCAAGGCGCTGTTGGTGTTCGTGTGTTGCAGGGGTAGGGGGCTGAGGTCCTCTCCTGCCGGGAATTCTGGCCCAAGAAGCGAGGGTCACTGCTCGGTTCAGGGGCGACTTGGGCCTTGAGGTCGGACGATCACCAAATAGGTTTTTGAAGCCCGAGCTGACTCCGTGGCAAAGCCTTCAAGCTTGCGGGAGGCTGCTCCAGGCCTCTCTACTGTAACGCGCGCGCAGTCCCGACCGCACCGCGCACGCCCTGGCCCCGCCCCTCGGCGCCGCGCACGCCCCGTCCCGGCCTCCCCGGCGTGCCGAGCTAGGGCGGGGCAGGCAGACGCGGGCCCGGAACTGTGGAGCGAGGCTCGTCCAGCTTTTCCGGCGCCAGGTCCCGGGGCCGCCATGGAGCCCCGGGAGGTTGCGGATGCCGTGGAGACGGGGGATGAGAACGTGATTTTGGAGGCTCTGCTCGCGTACAACCGGGAGGTGAGCGGGAGCTGTGGACGCGAGACGTGCAAGAAAGAGGTGGGGCCGGGTGGGGCCAGCGCGCGTGGCTGGCTTTGGCGGGGCGTGAGTGGTGAGCGTGGAAGGGAGCGCCGGTGGGGGAGGGGCGCTGACTCGGAGGCGTTGCTGGGTGACAGGTGTGTCGGGGTGGGGCGCAGTCTGTTCAGAGCCATGCCTGCGGCCTCATGCCCCTATCTGCGGAGCCGCGGTCCTGCACCGGTGAGTCTGTGCCTTCTGAGCCTCTGGGTCTCTTTGCAGAACTCCCAGAGCTTCACGTTTGATGATGCCCAACAGGAGGACAGGAAGGTGGGTCCTCACCGAGGGGTAAAGGGGCAGGGACGGGTGGCCCAGGTACAGGAGCCTGGTGGAACCGCTCTTCTCCCTGCCCACAGAGACTGGCGGATCTGCTGGTCTCCGTCCTGGAGCAGGGCTTGCCACCGTGCCGCCGCGTCATCTGGTTGCAAAGCATCCGCATCCTGTCCAGGGACCGCAGCTGCCTGGACTCTTTCACCAGCCGCCAGAGCCTGCAGGCACTTGCTTGCTATGCAGGCATCTCCGCCTCCAAGGAGTCGGAGCCCCTGGACATGGATGTCGTGCTCGAGTCCCTTAAGTGCCTGTGCAACCTCGTGCTAAGCAGCCCTGTGGCACAGGCGCTGGCTGCAGACGCCGGGCTAGTGGCAAAGCTTGCCGAGCGCGTGGGACGGTGCCGCCAGAGCAGCTTCCCGCACGACGTCCAGTTCTTTGATTTGCGCCTCCTCTTCTTGCTAACGGCACTTCGCACCGACGTGCGCCACCAGCTGTTTCAGGAACTGCAGGGAGTGCACCTGCTGACGGAGGCGCTGGAGCTGACTCTGGGAATGACCCCCAAAGAGAGGCCCCCTGAGCTCCTCCCTACCCAGGAGACTGAGCGGGCTATGGAGATCCTCAAAGTGCTCTTCAACATCACCTTCGACTCCATCAAGAAGGAAGTGGATGAGGTGAGGGCTGACCTCAAACTGTGGGTGGATCATAACAGCTTGGAGTTATCCTGGATTTGTTTCTCTGCCGAGTATCTTCAAATTTTCGGGTGTCCCACCAGGAGAAGGCAGGGAGATCCCCATATTGGACAAGGGCCTCAAGAACGGTTTCTGAGCGAGTTGTAGGGCATAACTGGATCTTGCAGCCTGGTGGGAGGACTGTGGTGTCTGTGGGAGGTCGTCAAAGATTCCTCACTAGAGGCAATGAGCGTGGGGCTAGAAGCAGAGCGACTTCATCCCAGAGGGGTCTGTTGATGTTCTTAACCAAAAGAGTATTCTTATGGTCACCAGGAGAGGACGAGGAGCCAGGGGTACAGTAGAGGAGATGCGTAGTTAGTCCACGTGGTCCTGGAGTGGGCTGGCAGCAATGGGGGCGAATGGGGCTCTCTCTCACAGAAACCCCTTTCTCTTTGGTCAGGAAGACACTGCCCTTTACCGGCACCTGGGGACCCTTCTGCGGCACTGTGTGATGGTTGCTGCTGCTGGAGACCGCACAGAGGAGTTCCACGGGTGAGGGTGGTGCCTATCATGCTGCTGGGGAAGTCTGCTCACAAGTCTAGGTGGTGGTTCCCAGCCCTAAAGCGTCTTCATCTGTCTGGGTGGGACCAGACATCGGTGTGTTTCCAGGGACCTCCAACACTTACAATATGTGGTTAAGACAAGAGCTGTAAGTTTGGGGACAGCAATGTGCTACTCAACCTTGTTAGAGGCAGCAGACGGTGGGGTATCTATAGAGCAATGTGATTATTCATATTTATTCTTGGTGACCTGTGTCTAGGCAGGTTCTGATTTTTGTTCATGATGCTTCCACCCAGATGTGTGGTAGGTGGGGCATCTGCAGAGGGTGCACCCAACGATTCTGGTACCTAGTGCTGCTTCTCAGGCCCCTGGACATTGGCTCATGTCATATGTGACCCAGCAGGTGACAGTAAGGGTTGTACCTATGCTGGGGCATTGGACTCACCAAGCCCCCGTTTCCGTCTGTCCCTAGCCACACAGTGAACCTCCTAGGAAACCTGCCCCTCAAGTGTCTGGACGTCCTTCTCACCCTGGAGTCACACGAAGGCTCCTTGGAGTTCTTGGGAGTGAATATGGATGTGATTCGTGTCCTCCTCAACTTCCTGGAGAAGCGTTTGCACCAGGTGGGCAGGGGGACCTGCTGTGGCTCTGGCCCAGGCTTTCTCAAGCAGCTGTGGTCACTGCTTTTGCACAGTCCACACTGGTAAGTGGAGAGCAGCTCCCCAGTGTGATTCAGGGGGTGCCTTCAGCTGCTCCATGGTCTAGCAGGTAGGAAGGCAGATCCTCCTCCCTGAGAAGCATGCAGACCCTGCCACACTCGGAAGCAAGTTTTCAGAATCTAGCAAAGAACTCATTTTTTAGATCTCTTTGTGGATGCTTTTGAGTGGTCCAGAGAAGCCTCCTGGCCCTTCCTTGTGATCCTAGACTCATAGTGTCACTCTGCACAAGTAGACCTTGGTGGTAAGCATCAGCTGTTCCTTGGCATCACTAAAGGGACCCACAGGATCCTCGAGCCAGAGACTCCCTGATTCCTGCAGCTGCACCACGGGACATCAGCTGGTCGGGGTTCCACCCAGCCCCTCTGTAATTCGCAGGCATCATACAGGCTGAAGGATGTGACAGCTCAGATTTAGTAGAGCCCGTGGGAATCCATGTTGCCCATAGCTGGCTTGTGTGCTGGTGGTTTGCTAACAGCTTTAAACACTTCCCCACAACTCTGGTTTATGGGTAGGGAAGTTAGACTCAAGGCAGTTGAGTCATTTGCCTCAAGTCACATGGCATGTGAATGGCCTCCTGACTTAGGGTCCATGCCTGTCCCTCTCAAGAGTTCACACAGACACCCACTGCTCACAGTTGGTCCCTCAGCTGACTAACCGTGGTGGGGCCTCTTCCTAAGTGCCTCCTGCCAGGACCACGTGGTGCATGAGCACCACATCCCCCACCCCCGGCCTGGCCTCAAGTCAGGTGGGGCACAGTCCCGGTGACAGAGGCTCCTCTGCAGACGCACAGGCTGAAGGAGAGCGTCGCCCCTGTGCTGAGTGTGCTGACGGAGTGTGCCCGCATGCACCGCCCTGCCAGGAAGTTCCTGAAGGCACAGGTATGTACAGGGCCGAAGGGCCATGGCTGGGCCCTGGTCAGAGACCCTGGCCATTCTAGGCCCAGGCTTAGGGACAGCTGCCTCCCCAGGTGCTGCCCCCACTGCGGGACGTGAGGACCCGGCCAGAGGTTGGGGAGCTCTTGCGGAACAAGCTGGTTCGCCTCATGACGCACCTGGACACCGACGTGAAGAGGGTGGCTGCTGAGTTCCTGTTTGTCCTGTGCTCTGAGAGTGGTGAGTGGGGGGACTGGCTTTCGCCTGCCCCCCTCCAGCCCCTCCCAAGCCACGTTTGCGCACTGACTTCTGCCCTGCCCCTCAGTGCCCCGATTCATCAAGTACACGGGCTACGGAAATGCCGCAGGCCTCCTGGCTGCTAGGGGCCTCATGGCCGGGGGCCGGCCTGAGGGCCAGTACTCGGAGGACGAGGACACAGACACAGAGGAGTATAAGGAAGCCAAGGCCAGGTGTGTGCCCCCCATCCTCGGGCTCCCCTCACTCAGCCCCCATCCCTATTCCCTCACCCACCTGGACCCGCAGGGTGGATGGGACAGGGTGACAAATGGGTACGACCTTTTGGGATGAAGCATCTGTCTCTAAACGACACTTACTCTGACATCAGGAAGTTCTGTTGAACACAGAGGCTGAAAGGGGCTGAGCAGTCTGCGGGACCAGGTGGTCCAAGTGGCAGGAACTGCTCCTGGAGGGAGGTCTTTTCTGCAGTTGCCTTGCCTCCCCACACCCAGGAAGATGGGTTTCTTGCCATTCCAGGGCCAAGCAGGAAAATGAGGCGCTCCCCCACCCCATGCAGCCTCCTCCTGTCCTAAAGAGTCTCTAATGCATTCCCCACACACCTCTCTTACAAAACAGCATAAACCCAGTGACTGGAAGGGTAGAGGAAAAACCACCCAACCCCATGGAGGGCATGACAGAGGAGCAGAAGGAGCATGAGGCCATGAAGCTGGTGAACATGTTTGATAAGCTCTCCAGGTATGTGGCATGGAGGGGCCTAGGGCCATTACAGGGAGATGGACCCATGTCCTTTTTTGGGAGCCCTGGGAGGTGGGGTCAGAGGAGGGCTTACATTCTGGGAAGACTGCATTATCAATGTTTGAAATCACCTGTCGAGGAGGAAATCCCCTAGAGAAGGGTTAGGGTTGAGATCAGTATTGTGTCCATTTAACGGCTGATGAAAACTGAGGCCCAGAGGAATTAAGAGACTGCCTAAGGTCTCAAAGCTTAGGTAGCAGTTAGGATTCAGGCCTGATTAACACAGTTCCCACCCAGCCTTCTCTAGTAAACAGGAGCAGCTTAGTGGAGCGAAAAAATAGCAGCCAGGGGGTGCGTAGGACCCCTGCACCCCAACCCAGGCCCCTTCCCCAGCCCTACGACCTTTCCCCACAGGCACAGAGTCATCCAGCCCATGGGGATGAGTCCCCAGGGCCAGCTCACATCCCTGCAGCATGCCATGTGTGAGACCATGGAGGGGCAGCTCTCCTCGGACCCTGACTCGGACCCCGACTGAGAATGGCCGCTCTTCTGCTCCCCTTCAGAACTGGTGCTGCTTCCAGAGGTGTCCTTGAGGCCCCAGGGAAGCCACATCGCTCCCTCCAACTTGGGGACCCCTTTCTCTTTACGCCCAAAGTTCTATCCATGATTCGCCTTTGGTCCGTTCTCTTCTCTCTAGGACCGCAAGACACTGCAAGGTCTTGTCCTGCTATAACTCGGGAAGCTCAGCCTTGATGTGCGCCTGAGGGCAGGGCTTAACTGAAGGCAGAATGAGCATGCATTTGGGAGGGCGAGGGCTGAGCATGGGCACTTGCAGATGCAGGCATGTCCACAGCTGGCCTGCTGGCCCAGAGCTGGTGTCGGGCAGGTGCCACGTTTGACAGGGGAAAGGACCTGCTGGAACTTCATGTGCTAATGTCAGAAACACGCTTCCAAGGTATGCGCTGCTGTTTTTGTCCCCATTGAGTGCAGGGCTGGTTGCCTCTTGCATCCTTGATCCTGACTCAGCACCCAAGTTTTCACTGGTTGTAGCAGTTGAATCTCAATCCTTCCCGTTGGCTTAGACCATAAATACGTGAAGGAAAATGTCCCCTCTGAAACCATAAGTCTAGACTTCCATCATGTACCACCAAGCTTCACAGAAACATCATTCTGGAATAAAGAGTTCCAGACAAGAATGTGTGTGTGTGTGTGAATATACATGTAAAATATCAAGTATAGGCACAAGCAGAATTAAGAATTAACTTCGCTCTTAGAGTTCAGCACTTTCCCCAGATGTCCACACTTGTGTTTTGTTCTTGAGGCGTCAGTTAAATCTGCTCCAGGTGGGCTCCAGCCCAGACGTCCAGTGGGAAGAGAAGATGCCGGGAAGGTGGGAGCACCGGGGCAGGAGCCAGGGGTCAGGAAGGTTGCCTAGGAGGTACCACTTGAGCTGGGCCTTGGGACAGCCCCAGGGGGGTCCTGTACAAAAGCAAGGAGCTCACAGCAGGTTCTGCCCCAACAACAGTGTGGCCTGAGCACAGCCAAGGCTTCCAAGGGAGTAAAGCCATCTGTCTTAGAGGTTAATTCTAGTAGCATTATTGGTAGAAGGCCTTGCTGGGGAGAGTGGAGACAGGGAGACAGAATGCTGCTGGAATGGTCTGAAACAGGTGAATTTTGGGGGGAGAGGTTGATATGAAAGGCATCAGGGTAGAGAGGACAAGACAGGGTTACCCACAGTATGGGGTGCCGGGTGCTCCAAAGGGCCTGTGCACAACTCCGGGATGAATCCAGGGACAAATGTTCTCAGCCCTCGGGCTATCCCAGGAGAGGGGAGACACCCACACAGCCCCAGGCGCCCCTTTCCACATTCGCTGTCGACACCTGCATTCCCTTTGAGGAGGCAAAAGTGAAGACATGCCCAATTTTTATATTAAAATTTATTTCATGCCAGAAATGAAGGACAAACTAAACTGAAAAGAGCAACATGCTAGAAAACCCTAGCACACTACCTGGGACCCAGCCCCACACCTGGGGTGTGACCAGGGCTGCTCAGCCCAAGACTGGGTCTCTTCTAGTGGACAGAGTTTACCCTTTAGATGAGGTCCAGTCTGGGGTTCCAGTCAGTCTGAGTTCAAGAGGTTCACCATCAGAAGAAAGCTTTTCAGCATTAAGAATTTCAGCAGAATGAAAAGTTAAGCAGCAAAAAGTCAGATCAGGCAGCTCCTTCCCATCTGTGGCTGAGGTGGCCCCAAGTGCGCAGAGCTCATGACCTGGGCAGACCCTCCAGGGGCAGCCTCAGGTCGCATGTCCTAGTTTAGCCAAAATTTGTAAGCCTGTCCGAGCCGTTCTTCAGCCACGAATTCTCATCAGAAGTGGGCAGTGACTCTCATGTAACCATTTCTGGTTGGGAGCAGCCCTCCTATGTGTCCCAACCATCAAGCTAGAACACAAAGGAGAGAGGAAATCAGTTACTGAAAACATAGCTGGGCAGATCTCAGGGCCTGCAATGGAACGTTCCATAAAACGGAAGCTCTTCTGTCTGTGCAAATGCTGCTGTTCAGCCAAGTTAAGACAACGCCGTCAGGACTGAGTAAAAACGGGTGGCTAGACGTAGGGCTTCATTTAGGAACCAGTACTGAGGTTCTCATGCCCAAGGACATTCACTGTCTGGAAGAGTGACCCAACTGAGACTGCAGTTCACCCTGAGTGTTTACTCTTGGATAGCAACTCACAATAAACCCCCAAAATCATAACTCATTTCACACAAACTTCCGTGAAACTGGAAGATTTCACAGGTCAAATCCTATAGGACTACTTCTAAAAACTCTGTAGAGGCTACTTGACTTGGTCTTGCTGTTACACGGAGTAGGAAGTCAGCCCAGCTGCCAGGCAGACCTGACCAAGACCTCCACTGCCCTGCGAGCGAGGCCTCTGCTGCTGCTCCTCTCCCGGAGCAAAGTGTCAGCTGGACTCTGCTCCCACTAAGGGACCCAGAAGGCGACTGTGACCTTTGATGGCCTTCATGCCCCTCCACATAGTGAGAAACTGCACCCGCCTGCATCTTAGCCCTAAGAGCCAAACTCTAGGTTGGAAGGCAATGATGTCTAATACCATGAACCACAGAGTCCTATTCTTAAAAGCCTTGTATTCTCAATTTGGTTCAACTTGGTAAGAAATCAAGCTGTAGCCAGAGGCTGGGGGCTTTTGCCAGTGGAGGTGAGAAAAAGGGCTGACCCATGGCCCTGAGCCCTGAGGCAGTGACAGCCGAAGGGTGGAGGTTTCCCAAGGCCATAGAACATAAATTACAGCATTCTGGTGAGATCCACTTTGAGCAGTGTTAACACCTGGCTGTAATCATGAACCAATCTCTTTAAGACAACTAGACTTCAAATGATTAATGCTGCCTCCTGTAGAGAATAACCCCCCACATCAAGGCTACCCGTGCTAACTGATTCTCAGAAGAAACTGCGTTTTCCATAACCTCACTTGTTTATAGGAGGTTTAGCACCTAGAGAGGTCAAGGCTCTTTGGCTTTCTACCCTTAGAAGATGGGGATAAGTCAACTGCTCTCCCACTGATTATTTCCTAAAAGCATCAACCCACACAGGTTCAGAGAACTTCAGAGTCACGCCTCAGTCTGGAGCTGCTTGGTCCTCCTCTCGCTTAGGAGACGAAAGACAGCTGAAGGGTGACGTGTGCAGGAGACAGCCCTGTCTGCCCAGAGCCTCATGCCGACTCTGCCACTCAGAGCAGGCACACAGTGTCAGGTCTTCATCTCTAAACGGGATTAGTAAGAATTCCAGCACCTGATTCACAAGTACAAAGATGGCCCCAGACAGTGCCTGGTACAGCGTAACAGCAGCATTTCCTATCACCGTAACTGTTTTAGCCAGACAGGGCTCCATACCAGGTGGACCAGGCCCCACAGCAGAGAAGATGGCCCCTCCTGTGACTGCTCAGCCATCCGTACCTTTCCGGTTTCCCGCTGGATGAGGTCCCGCATCTCCTCCGTCCAGCCCAGAAGCTCCACCAGCCTTTTCACGCCATGAACCACATCCCCCAGCTGCACCACATCCCTGCTGTGAGGATGCCTAGCCAAGGACCCCACCAAGTCCCGGTTGATGAGCAGTCGGGGCACTGAGCTCCGTACGGCCTCAGACAAGCTGGCAAAAGGTTCCACCTGAAAAATCGCCCAAACGTGAGGAGCACAGTGCCCGCCCTCCCAGGCCCACAGGCCCCGCCCGCCACCTGAGGCCCCCCTCATCCATCTCCATCTTTCTCTTCTACATCTCCTGCCCCTGCGCGAGTCCCTGCAAAGTTTCATCTGCGCTCAGTGCCAGCAGTTACACCTCAGCTCACCTGTCCTCCCACCCACACTGTCTTCTCCCAGCTCACCGCCGGCATGACAAGACTCGTCTGCCTGGTCTCCCTCCCTGCGAGCAAGGACCTGGTCCCTCACAGGGGGCACCACTGAGAACAGGGCCTGGCACAGACCAAGCAGATTCGCTAGAAAAACAGATAACTCTAGGCGTCTGGCTAGCTGGGGCCCTGAGTGCAGATCTTTCTAGCCCTTCTGCCCCCTTGGTGCCTATGTCTCAGGCACAGCCCATTGCAGGGATTCACTACATCCTTCAGAAACTTCCTGAGCTTCAGATCCAGATGCATCTCCCAGGCCCCTCAAACCCACATGTGCAAAACCGAACCTGGCGTCTCCCATCCAGATTCTTTCTCACCAGCAAATGCCCTGAACCCCCACAGGCAAGACAGACACCTCCCTCTAAGGTCCTCCAAGTGACATCAAGTCTGGCTGCTCCCCTCCCTAATATCTCTCACAGCCACACAGTCTGACCGTGCACCACCCCTGGACATCTGCTCACTTCAACCCCTGCTCCCTGAGTCTCTCTGACCCCAAGGATGATCACCTACACCCCTGGTTTCACTGCTTCCACATAAAGCCCATCTCTTTGATACGTACAACATGCAAGGCCTGCTCCCACCTCACATCTCCAGGCCCCATCCTCTCACACACTGTGCCCACCCACACTTTGACACCTCCGAAGCTGCGCATCCTCCCCCCTCCCTGCTCTCCCACTCAGACTGCAGCGCCTGAGGCCTGGACACCCTGCTTCTTCACATGTTGAATCCACTCACCTGCCAAAGGCAGGGCCCCAGAGCTCCCACCAGCCCCACCTCTTCCACCTCGCCCCGTTAGCCTCCTCTCCACAGCTCTGTGCACCACTGGGCCTGCTGACCAACCTCCAGGGAGGTCCCGAGGATGAGCAGCAGGTCTGCCATGGGGAAGTCAGCCACATGCAGCAAGAACCTGTTGGGGAGCAGCTCCCCGAAGAACACGATGTCAGGCTTCACGATGCCAGTGCAGACCGGGCAGTGGGGGACCCTGTCCGCCATCACTTCAGCCTGTGGACACAGGGAGAGTGGGCCCAAGGAGACCGTCACAACACACTTCAAAAGGAAAAGGCAAAGACAACTTCTTCTTGAGAAACTGTCACATTCACAGCAGCTAAGACAGTAGCATAGCAAAGCCCTCGGGGGCATGACGACCCAGCCTCGGCAATTACTGGCATTCTGCCAGCTGTACTTCCTACAGCGCCCACAGGCTTCAGGGGAGGCTGCAGTATTTGAAAGCAAACCCTGGATGTCACACGACATCTGCCGCACTAAACACCACGCTCTGCACCTGGGGAAATCCTCAAGCTATTCAGTGCTGAGGAAACACAGGTGACCCTTGAACAAGACAGCAAGTTAGGGACACCAGCCCTCAGCACAGTTGAAAATCTGCACAGAACTTAGGGTTAGCCCTCCATACACACGGTTCCTCCATACCCGTGGTTCCGCACCTGCAGATTCAACCAACCACGGATTGTGTGGTCCTGGAGTATACATTTATTGGAAAAAATCAGCATAAAAGCGGACCCATGCAGTTCAAACCCACATTCGAGGGACAACTGTACTGATTACATAGTCCTTAGAAGGCACTCTGTAGGCATTTGGCCTACAATAGTGTTATTCGATGAAAATGATGGTATAAAATTTGTCCCTGATTTTAGCTGAAGTAACCATGACATCACCTTAGCCCTGGAAGACATTCAGGTCGGCCTCAACTCACTGGCTGGAGTTATGAGGAACACCATTTTCCACAGACCTCCTCCTTGCAGGCTAAAGGGAAGTAGAGACCACTTCTTACTATATCCTGCTCCACCTGGGTTGATGCTTTGGCTGGACATTAGAGGAGGAAACTAAGGAGAAAGACACCTGTCTTTCTAAGAGAAACCTTTACAGCTAATGGGATGTGTTTTTGCAGGCTTAGCCCAGTAAACACCAGCAGAAACAACGACAAAAGATGTGGACTATGCAGAGACTTCAGATGCTATCAGGTACACATCTAAAACTGTATTATGTTTAAATTTGTAAAGAGGCAGGCTGAAATAGCTATTCGAGATAGAAAGCTATACAAAATAACGCAGTGGATTTGAAAAAGAACCAGATAGGATTTCCAGTAACAAAAAGTAGAGTACCAAAACCTGAAGCTCAGTGGAGAGGCTTTATCCTCTATGACAGAGTAGAATATTGATAAACTGGGAAGGAGACCAGGAGAAAGACTTGGAACATGGCACAACCGTGCTGAAGAGAGGAAGGATGTGGGCACGTGCGAGACGGCCTCCGAGACATGCACCGTGAGGTCCACAGAGAGGGGATAGGACGTGAGCTGAGCAATCAGTGTCCGAAGGGATCATGACTGAGGATTTTTCCAGCAAAGATGAAAGATATCAAACCACAGATTCAGAAAGCTCTACAAAATTTTAGTAGAAGTCAAAGGAAATCCATATGGAGACATAGCACAGTAACAGTGCAAAACTTCAAAGACAATGAGAAAGGCTTTAAAAAATGTGCAGAGAACAGACAGCAACAAACTGATTCTAAAGTTTATTTGGAGAGCAAAAGACCCAGAATAGCCAGCAGCATGGAAGGAGATGACCCATGAAAGAAAAAGACAGTACTTTGGACTTCATTAAATCAGAGACTTCTCCTCTGAGAGACAGTGTCAAAAGGATAAGATGACAAGTCATAGGCTGGGGAAAATACTTGCAAAAGACATCTGATATCCAGAACACACAAAGAATTCTTAAAACTCAACAGCAAGAAAATAGCAGCCCAATTAAAAAGTGGGCCCAAGACCTCACCAAAGAAGATAAACAGATGGCAAATGAGCAAGAAACAAGATCAACATCATATTTCACTAGGAAGCTGCAAGTTCAAACAATGTCACTACACACCTACTAGAATGGCCAAAATCAGAACACTGACGACACCAAGTGTTGGTGAGGATGTGGAACAACAGGAACTCTCATCCACTACTGGTGGGAATACAAAATGCTGCACTTTGGAAGAGTGTGAGATGGTCTCAGAGGTGTGTAACCTGAGGTCCACAAGCAAAACTAAACAGTCTTACTGTATGACCCAGCAGTCACACTCCTTGGTATTTACCCAATGGAGTTGAAAACCTGCACACAAAAACCTGCACATGGATGTTTATAGCAATTTTACTCGTAACTGCCAAAATCTGGAAGCAACCAAGATGTCCTTTTGCAGGTGAATGGAGAAACAGTTACATCCAGACAATGGAATATTACTCAGACTTAAAAAAAAAAAAGGTGCTGTCAGGCCACGAAAAGACATGGAGGAACCTTAAATACACATTGCTAAGTGAAAGAAGCCACTGAGAAAAGGCTGTACACTGTGTGATTCCAACTCTATGACATTCTGGGAAAGGCAAAACTATGGAGACAGTAAAAAGATCAGTGGTTGCCAGGGGTTTGGGGCAGGGAGGGAATAGGATTGACTGGTAAGTGGTTACAGGGTTTTCCTCGGGGTGATGAAAATATTTTGGAATTAAATAGAGGTTGGTTAGTTAGTTAGCTGCACAGCCCTGTGAATGTACTAAATGCCAAGGAACTGTATACATTAAAATGCTTAATTTTATGTTATGTGAATTTCACCTCAGTAAAAAATAAAAGGATCCTGTGCCACATTGCTATTTCAGAGTTTCATCTTTATTTAAGATTTTTTACTGTGTCCTACTCTACTTTAAAAAAACCTATCCTGTTCACAAACATTCCTAGAAGTACATGGGGGTGTAAGCGTGGGTATTGTGACTGTATTATTTTTAATAGTAAAAATCACAAACATCATAAAATATCCCACAGCAGGTGAACAGCTAAACACAATGCTCTATAATGACTAAAAGCAATAAGCAGAGCTGTAGTTATCGACACAAGATATCCATGAAATTTTGCTCGGTGACAGAGCAAGTTGTGCAATATTAATCTTAATGATATCATTTCTTTAAAAAATTGTAATCGTGTGTGGGTTTAAGTACCCAGAAATGTGCATGTATATTTATATATGCATATCTTTTTTTCAAGCCCTGGAACATTATACACCAAACAGTTAAAAGTGGGCCACAGGAACTGGCTGAAGGGAGACTCACTTCCCCCTACGTATTGCTGCATTGCCTTAATTTTTTTTTAATTTGCAACAATCCTATGGTCCAATAAGGTTATATTTACAGGTACTTGGAGTTAGGACTTACATACTTTTTAAAAACTGAGGTATAATTGATTTACAATATTGTGTTAGTTTCAGGTGTGCAGCACAGTGATTTGGTGATACATGTGTATATGCATGTACCTACATCCTGGTTTTCAATTCTTTTCCATTATAGGTTATTACAAGATACTGAATATAGTACCTTGTGCTATACAGTAAATACTTGTTTGTATCACCTTAAATTTTTACAAGTATGTATTACTTTTCTAATTTAAAAATAAAGAAAAACATTTTCACGGTATTGCTGCTGTTGTCCTTCCAACATAACACTTTTTAAAATGCCACTTTTCCAGATTACTCCCAGTGAGAAGTGCGTGCGGGAGGGAACTGTCAGCGTGACAACTCACCCAAAAGGCCTCCTCTGGGATGGGTCTTCGGCAGACGGTGCAGGTGGCAGAGGCAAAGGATCCATGAGCTTCAACCAGCTTTGAGGCAGGGATGCCAGATGCTGAAATTCAAACCAAAGCTAAGTGCTGCTGCCTGTTGGGGTGAGCACACGGCCCCTTAGCATGACCTCTGGGCTGGGCAGGCCCCCCAGAAGGAGTCACAGCCCTCAGTGTAAGTGGTACCCTGCCTCTATCACTACAGATGACACTCCCACTCATCAGAATAAGCACAGGCTCCGACATGGAGCCAAATCACAAGTGAGACGAAGCCTGTGAAAACACAGCACAAAGGACGTCTGATGTAAGTTCAGATAAAATTACACCCAGTACCAGGAAAACATTTTCTATTCTATAGACAACAAGTAAAAGTGGGAAAATAACATAAATCCATTTCCAAAATCCTGTGGAAAAACAGGCAAAAGGTAACTTAATCATGGAAGTTCTATTACCACTATCAGCGTTTGAAAGGCCGTGCACATACAGACCAGTGAACTCCCACTGTCCCCACGACTGTCCTAGCTCACACACACTGCAGCTCACAGCCAGACTCTCCCGCCTCCCCATGAGGTGCTCACTGCTGCGCAAGGGGCTCCAGGCTGTAGAACCCTTCTGGCAAATAAACATTTTCCTGGAGTCAAGATAACTCCTTTCTTCAAATCACAAGATACCTGCAGCCTGGCTAAGCTGCTGCTGGCTTGCTAGGAGTTGACTGTTAGCACCTGTCAGATTCACTGCACGTAAGAAAAAGCCCCTACAAATGCTTCTCTGAGATACATGGCCAGAGGTCAGCATGCCCTTTGAATCGCTGGTTGTGGCCACCATCTAGACACAGTCAAGAAGCAATCATACAGCCCATGTGATGATCTTAAGGAACTGTCAGTGGTTCCTCTGTGTGCTAGTGACGTCATGGTTGTGTTTTAGAGCCCTTTTGCTGTCTTTACAGATTAAGTTTATGATGAGAGGGACATGCGTCAAAGTAGCTAGGGGTGAGAGAGAAGGTAGGAGTCAGACACAGACTAAACAAGGACAGGCCATGGTGCGGTGATGAGGACATGAGGGCTCATGACAGTCCTCGCTTTCTTTCTGTGTGCTCAGAAAATTCCATAATGAAAATTTTAAAAAAGAAATCATCAGATCAGATCAGCAAAACTAGAAGCTTCTAATGTCAACCCTGGTCCTATTCAAAACTCACAGCCCAGAAGAATGAGGCCCCAACACTGATACTCTGGGCATTTTTGTTGGGGACAGAGGCATAAGTTTTGGGCTTGAAACCAGTCATAAGCATGGGGACTAAGCGCGGGGCCGCAGCCCTGTGCAGAAGCAGGCGCCCACACCCCTCGCAGGACAGAGAGGAGGGCTGGAGGCAGGCCTCACCTCTCTCAAGCCCGTCGATGTTCTGGGTATACAGCCGCAGAAGCAGCCCCTTCTCGTGAAGCAGTCGGAGGAAGTAGTGCGTGGCATTGGGCCTGTAGTTCCCAGGGTACAGCTCCTTGGCAAAGGTGAAAAATGGCTTGGGATCTTGAAAGAAAAATGCGAGCTCGAAAATGGCCTCGGGGTAGGGGACCTTGTACTGTTGCAGCCTGCTGTAGTAGCCAGTCCCTGGAGACCTGCAGAGGGAAGCAACAGGCTCTGAGCCCTTCAGAAGAGAGCAGGCAGGTGGAGAAAACCGCCACAGCGGGGGAGGAGCGCACGCGGAGGTGACGGGGTTGCTGCAAGCACCTGAAGTCTGGAATGCCGCTGGGCGTGCTGATGCCGGCCCCCACCATGGCCACCACCCTCCGGCAGGCTCCAGTTTTGATCAGCTCAGCCACGTCCTGCAGGAGGAGCTTCTGCTCGCTGCTGCCTCCACTTCCAGAGATGCTTGAGGCACCAGCAGAAGAAGATACGGGCCTTCTTCCACCTGTAATACTGGCAGAAAAAGGAGAGTGGCCTGGTAACCGAGGATGATCGAGCTCGTGCCAGCAAGAATGAGCAAGGTCTGCCCTACCCCACCCCCAGCACTGAGAACGACCACACACTTCCCTCCTGCCCCACAAACCACCAACTATCTCCTCATGGCTGACTACTAGGATAAAACAGAAAGCACTCTCAACCCAGAAATCAAGAGGCACTTGGAGTACTTGGGAGGAAAATGTCAAGTGAATGGGAACCGTGCAAATAAGGAAAGTATCATTTCACAGTTCTCGTTATCGAAGGCCAGTGCTGAAGGCTCCAGCCAGAGCCAAGGGCATCCCTTTGTGGGGGCTCTGGGGGTGCTCTCTGCAGAGCCATACACCCTAACATACCTAGGACATGACAAATACTTAGTGACATTTAAAGAAAGTTACATCAAATATCACCAGGATGAAGAGTGGGTTCAAGAGACCATTCCAGAAAGAAACACTCATATCCTGACAGCTAGGGATTCGAACTGCGGCAGAGACTTCATCTTCAATATTCACGGCCTTTTAGGAGGCTGCACGTATCACGTGACAGCCAAAGAAATCACATAACCTGGGCAAAGCAGTGGGCAGACTGGAGCTCGGGGGTCTCTCTGCAAAACTCCAGAAGGCTTCTCAGGTCATCTCCAGAAGCCAGGAGCCGAGACACTCACAGCAAGGTGAACTGTTAGGAGTATGAGATGGTCTTCCACAGGGAAAAAGAGAAAGACACACAATAAACAAGTCACAGGCTTCAGAGTTGCACCACGACTCTGTAACTGACAACACCCAGGGAACACTGAGGAGGAAACAAAGGCGACACAAGCAGTGCACAGCCTGGAGCAGCACCTGCAACGTCCCACTGCAGTGAGTCTGCAACTGTGGGCTGAGCAGGCACGAAAGGCCCTCTGGGTTTACAGATTCGCTCTCTGGGCCCTCACCTGGCATGGGATCGAGAGGCACTTCTTCACCGCCTGGTATCACACTGCCAACTCACCCAGAGTTCAAGACTGCCAGCCCCACCACACAGGGCGCCTTCCTCACACCTCAAGGGCTGGTGGCCACCACATCTGTCTTCCAGGAGAAGACACTCCTCCAGAACACCGGACCTCGGTATAGAACCTTCTGCCCTGACAGGAAAAGAGACTCAAAGACCTGAACTGACACCCCTCCCCAAATGGCTGACACACCTAAAATGAACACAGACATAAAACTAGGGTACAGAGTATTTCTTTTACTCATTTGTGATACAGAAGTAAGCACCCTAGAAGCACAACTTTAGATACGTCAGGACAATTCAGAGCTCATCTTCTAGGACTGTGATCCTAACTCACTCTCTTGCTTGCTCCTCGTCTTTGGTTTTTCTTTTGCTCTTAGAAAACAAACTAATGTTGCAAAATCTGCACATACCACCCTGCTTACACACTGGTGCTGAGGTCTCCCCTAAGCCCTCTGCCCTCCATAGCACCCTGACACCTTAGCACAACATACCACACCCCAGCGACAGTCAACCTGCTCCTCCGTGTCATATACCCTCCCTTCCTGGTCCTTGTATACACCCTACACCTGGCTCCTTCTGCCTGAAAAGAACTTTCTCCACCCCAGCATGTCCAAATCTCCCAGAGTTAAGGCCAGGATCGGTGCCACCTCCTTCAGGAAGCCACCCTGAATCTAGTGAGAAGCCCTCCTCTCTCCTCCTGTGGAAGGTGACAGTACTGGCTCCCTCCCCCTTTGAGGGTGCCTGTCACCCCTTCCCTTCCTGCCCCTGCACGGCTGCGTCTCACACTCCACCCTGGGGTCAGCAATGGTGCAACTCAGGGGCTAGCTGGCCGCTCAGTCCACTCGTGATGCCTCTCCTGCCAAAGTATCATCTTGGGTTTCCGAAGTACAGACCTTGGAAAGGTGTGTAATGAGGAAGAGGAACGTGGCTAGGGAAGGCGTGTGTGCAGGGCCGAGGGCACCACAAGGAGAGGCAGAGCCCTAGCTCACTGCCTGTCTCGCCAAGTCGCTCAAACACCCTGAGCCTCAGCTGCTGAAGCCAAATCAAGGGAGTGAGAGATGGTTCTTATAGCCTTTTGAAAAGATCTATAGCTGTGAACCTCCCACCTGAAAGTACAGGAAATACAGGCAGCAGGGAAAACACTGTTTCCCGACTCCTCCCCATGCTCTTGGGGAGATGCCCACAGACTCTGAAGAGAATTCTGCTGCATCAAAGACTTGCATAAAAGCACCCATCATGGCGTCTCTTCTGAGTGCAAGTCGATGAGATCTCCAAAGGGGGTTTTCCAATGAAAACTGGTCAGCTGGTTAGGAAAGAAAGAGAACGCTCTGGTTCCAACTACAGCTATTAAATGCCCCACCTCACACAGCATTAAGAACATCCATTTACTGAACTCCTCCCAAATGCAAATTATGATGAGAAATACAAAAGGAATGAGAGTAGTTGTTTTTTATTTTTTATAGAGGGGAATAAGGTTCACAGGAAACATCTGACTCAGATACCTGCAACTCTGGTAAGCAGCACCACATACTGGAGGGCCACCCACCTGCATGTGAGAACGCTGAGACGCTCAAAGCTTTTTCTTTCTTTTTTTAAATGAAGTTATTGGGGATTGAACCCAGGACTTCGTGCATGCTAAGCATGCACTCTACCACTGAGCTACACCCTTCCCCATAGAAGAAAGTTGTGACATTGTGATTTATAATAAATATATATTTTGGCCTTTGTCCCAAAACCCTTGCATTTTCCTAAGAGCAATGGGAGCATCTTTTTACAACATTGGGTCTTTTGGCCTCAGTTCCTGAAATCCCTTCAGAGCCAGGAAGTGAAATGGGTGTCTTGTTATCCGTAACAAGTCTCCCACGACCACGCGGAGTCTGTGTTAATGAGGTGACTCTAGAAAATCCCCC